CAAAAGTAACATTTAAACACATTTTGAGGATTTTTTTTTCTTTAAAAAATATACACACAGTTAAATGTACGTCCACTATATATAGTGGTCCCATTTACCAGTATTATTTATTAATTTTTATTGTTAGACTTATCAAAAGAAAATGGTGTGTTTGTTTTGCTATATATATTTTTTTGTTTTAAATTTGGAAATAGTGCTTCATCTAACTAGGTCCATGCTGCACCTATTTTGTGAACCAAATATAAACTTGAAAACAATTCCCGCTCAAAACAGTGTGTGCATGAGTTCTTGAAAGGTTTCCGCTTCCATAAAGACCAAATGCATATGAAAAATAAACATTTAGTTTGCAATCTAAAAGGTCTGCTAATGAAATCATTCAGTTTTGCAGGTTGTGCCATTAAAGAATAAAGCGTTTTTCCCATTATGGTTTCCAAAAATAGAAGGGAATTTGGCGTGAGCAACAACAACAAAAAAAATTCTCGTCAGTTTTCCTTTCTAAATGTATTAACAGATCACAAAGGACCATTGTGAGCTTTTTCTCAAGTTCAAACAGCGTTTCTTTTCTCGGGCATGTGGTTTCGTCTGGGCTCGGTGTGTGGCAAGTGGCTGACATTTGGCTGCAGAACTAACCAGCATTCATACCTTTTAGTTACCTTTTAAATCCCTTTGGCTCTATGCATGCTTATCCTGGTTATTATCCTGGGTTATCTTAACTGCCGCTCACGTTTTGTCTGAACCTGCTGCGGCAAGTTGCAGTTCAGTATTAGGACATAATGGCAAGTTGATGAGACTGTCGGGCTGTTTATGCATGCTATAATACATTAACAACCACACTAATAATTAGGATATTGGTGCATCTGCCTACGTGAATTATACTGAAACGTGTTTGACATCAGGAACTGTCTTCAAGCTACACAAAATTAAAATTAGTGCTAAAAAGCTTGTAAAATTGTGCAACTTGTCGCTTGTACTTTTTATGATGCCACTTTTTGAAAAGGTTAAGACTTGCAGCATTTCGTTAATGCACACACATCCTCCCAAATGTTTAAATGCCAAAAAATGCATCCGAGTCTCTTTGAATTTTGAAAGTCTGACAACCTGTAATCATCTTTAATCCTTTCATTATGTTTTTGTTTTCTTTTGTCCTTGTTTTGGGGGCGGGGGGTGAATGCAAACAGGAATTCCGGCATTCAAAGAAAAACACACAGCCTCAGGCTGAAAAAACAAGAGCGAGGAATTTTTGGGGGAAGAGGAGGGACACTTGTGAGCTTATAGGGTATGCACGTGTGCATCAGCGGCTTTGTTCACATGACCCGTGTTCCATGCATGAATCCGTGAGCGTGCATGCGTGCGCTTGTCTTGCTCATGCTGCGAAAGATGACCTGTGTGTGGGTCACTGGACACTCCAAGGTCAGACGCCTGCCAATAAACCACCAAGAGGACGAGTAGATACTTTATGATGTTATGTCTAATATTTGTTCTTATAAAAGCTTTTAATGTGTTTTAGTTGTTAACTGTGTGTACTCTTAACTTACACAAGCAATTACTGAAAGAAAGAAAACACAAATAATATATATATATATTTTAATTTGCTTGAATTTTTTAAAATTGAAAATATTACTATGTTTATAATAAAATAAAAAAATGAAATTGAAAAACATTAATTTTTTTCTTATACTTTCTGTCACTAGAAATTCAAAAATGCTGTTCTAGATTAATGGTCAGTGATATTTGAACACATAAAATCCATCTGAAAATGACAGAATATCCCATTTTTAGGCCAGATTATACTGTCGTTCTTTAACCTTTTTTTTTTCCTCCTCACTCTCAATTTGTTGTTAGAACTGATCGGTTCATTATTTTATAATTTTATTCAATTCAGTTTATTTAGCGCCAAGTCACAACAGTCATCTAAGGGCACTGTACAAAAACATTCTCATACATAAAAATCCAATTAGTAAAAGTTATCCATCCAAGGAAGCAGCAGATTGAGTTGAATCTTCACTTTGTCACAATCTCCCATCCTGAGCAAGCACAAAGGCAACAGTAGAAAGGAAAAACTCCCTTTTAACAGGAAGAAACCTCCAGCAGTACCAGGCTCAGGACAAGTGGACATCTGCTTTGACTGGCTGGGGTTTGAGAGAACAGGAAGTAGAAACAAACAAACACAGAATGACGGGTCCAGGTGTACTTCCTATAAGAAGAAAGACAAAAAACACATGTTAAGATATAAATAATTATAAATACAAACGAGTAGAGTAGAGCAAGTAAAGACAGCAGCAGAGTGAGGATGTGTAGTCAATTTGTCTTCCAGCAGTATAAGCCTATAGCAGCGTAACTAAAGGATAGCTCAGGAAACCAAAGTCGATTCCAACTATAGAATTTATTAAAAAAGAAAGACTTGACGCCTGTCCTTGAAAGTAGACATGGTGTCAGCCTCACAGACAGAAACTGTAAGTTGGTTCCACAAGAGAGGAGCCTGATAGCTGAAAGAATTTCCTCCCATTCTGCTTTTGGAAACTCTAGGTACCACAAGTAAACCTGAAGTCTGAGAGCAAAGTGCTCTGTGAGGAAAATATGGAACAATAAGATCTGTAATATAAGATGGAGCGAAACTGTTGAGAGCTTTGTATGTTTTCTAGTAATATTTTGAATTCTGTTCTGAATTTACCAGGGCGCCAATGGAGAGAAGCTAAAACTGGAGAGATATGATCTCTCCCACCAGCTCTCATTTAAACTCTGGCAGCAGCATTTTGGATCAGCTGAAGACTCTTTAAAGAAGTTTTTGGACACTCAGATAGTCAACAATTACAATAGTCTAACCTAGGCATGACAAATACATGAACCAGTTTTTCCGCATCATTTTTGGACAAAATGTTTCTAATTTTAGTGATCTTATGCAGGTGGAAGAAGGCAACACTAGTAACTTTTTTTAAATGTGGGTGTTAAAAGGCATGTCCTGATCAAAAATAACCAATGTTTTTTTTTAGAACTGGAAGTCAAATAGTACTACTATAATATAATGCTTCCAGAGAAAATGAAAGGCTTGGATTAAAGCAAGTCAAAAGATGCTCATAACTACTGTAAATGTATAATTACAGTTTGATTATAAGTAATAAACTATTACAGCTTTATTTACACTTGTCCCCTGCTTGTATATAGCCTCCTAAACTGCCTGTGATACCCCTGATCTAATGTTTAAACATCCTACAGATTTATAAGACGCCAACTTTGACTTTTGTGCACTTGTTAATAGGCCTGTCGCAATAAACAAATCAATTAATCGCATGATAAATGAAAATTATCTACCTCATTTTCATTTATCGGCTTTATCGTTTCTTCGTGTCTCTCTCTTTCTACTGAAGACACTGGATGACAAAAGGTTCAACTCCGGTGCTCTTCACTGACCCCTCCCTTTCTCTTTAAAATCTGTTTTAACCATTCAAAATCACGTTTTTGGATCATTAAAAGCAGCAATGCTGAGAGGCTAAGCTACAAGCTAAGCAAACATGCTGACCTAGGGAGAAAACCTCCGACTTGTCGAAGCTCCAAAATTCACGGTTGAAACCCGTGCCTTCGTTTAAAAAGTTGTTTTTCTCTGAAAAAATAAGCTGAGAACTTGTTTACTGATTTTTTTTAATTTTTATTAAAAGCTTTATGTGACTAATGCTATGCTAAAGAGCTCAAACCACACAGAGCATCGGCCATTTTGAGAACCGAAAAAAAAAGAGTCTGCCCATGTCACGTCAAGGAGCCTTCCTCCCATTTTTCTTAGAGACGCGCTGCTCGCTCCCTCACTATCCATCCTTCAGTTCAAATGGTCGTATCCTGCCATCCAGTGGTTAAAAAAGCTACTACATACAAAGATTAACCGTTTCTTCTTAAATTTGACAATAATTACTAACTATTGTCAAATTTCAAACATTATCATTTATCGCAATAATTTCTGAGACAATTAATCGCCCAGTAAAATTTATCGCGACAGGCCTACTTGGTAAAAACCTAGCACATTGAAGATGTGCTAAAAAATAGTATAAATTAGCCACTTAGCTGTAGTGCATTTATGAACCATAAAAATTTTTTTTATTGTTGAATACCTGATCTACTGGTCACTGAAATTTCCTGAGTGATCAGCGCTGCCCTAAAAGCCACTTTTGACTTGCTTTAATCCAAGTTTGCCCTTCTAATTGTCGTGTTCTCTTTAATCATCTAATTGTGTTTGCAGTCATAAAGATTTGCAAGATTAGACACAAAGTAAATAAGAATTTCAGGCAGTGGGAATAACAAAAAAAATCAGGTGTGTGTTTGTTGGGGAAGAAGGAAGGTGGTGGTTAGGTTCGTAGCGTGCCTGCTTCTCCACATGGAATTCATTACATCCCTGCTGGATGTTTGTTTTTTCTATTAATCCCTTTTCCTCCATTATCATGAGCTCCGTGAAAACAGCCCTAAACTACTGCCCTGCAGATGAGCTGGCATTTCTAAACACACACTTTCCTGTTCCGTATGATCCATTTCACCCATCCACATCATTAGCTTAGCACATTTATCTTGTCTTTGTTTTTCTTTCTCCTTCTATGTCCCATTGCAGCACATGAAGGAAACATTTGAGATTTTACAGCCTGATTAAACGTGCCTTCAGGATGGAACAGCAACAGCATGCTGCGATGATGTCTACAACAACTGTAGACTTTATATTGGCATTCCTAATTGTTTAGCGATACACGGAAGCAAATTGTTTCCCCCAGATGAAAGCAAATCGTGAGCATGTGTCTCCCATTTACCGCCAGCGGATTTTGACCTTTCATCAACTGGTGTTTTGATATCCGGGAATTATTTCACTACTTATATCCCAACAAAAAACAGAAAATCTAAAAATGTGTTCACTTGAAATGTTCATATTTGTTTAGATTAGATTTTAGGCTAATAAATCCAGTTAGCAGTGAGATGTATGTTTGGAGGTTATATTTTCTTAAACGCGCTGTGTTTTTGTCTTCTTGCAGGCCACTCGTGCCTCGCTCACAGCTCACTGTTCAAACCTGGGCGACTCCCTGAGAAAAGAAAATGACCTTGCACTGATCATCGACGGCCAAACTCTGAAATACGCCCTGTCCTTCGAACTCCGCCAGGTCTTCCTCGACTTGGCGTTGTCCTGCAAAGCTGTCATCTGCTGCCGGTAGAGAAAGAATCATTCATCCACACACACAAATAAAACCCTTTGCTGTTGTCTTAGCCTTTAATTGTAGCTTATCTGATCAGGCGTCATTCCCGTTCGTCTGTAATACCTCTGAAAATTCATACAGGAAAATAAAAAAGGAAAAAAATTTTTGAGAGTAAGATTAGGCCTGTCACAATAAACAATAAATCAATTATTCGCATGATAAATGAAAATTATCAACCTCATTTTCATTTATTGACTTTATCGTTTCTTCTTGTCTCTGTCTTTCTACTGAAGACACTGGATGACAAAGTGCTCTTCACTGACCCCTCCCTTTCTCTTTTCTGTTTAAAATCTGTTTTAACCATTCAAAATCGCGTTTTTGGATCGTTAAAAGTAGCTAAGCTGAGAAGCTAAGCTCCGAGCTGAGCTAACAGGCCAACCCATCTTGTCGAAGTTCCAAAATTCACGGTTGAAACCCGTGCCTTTGTGTAAAAAGTTGTTTTTCTCTGCAAAAAGAAGCTGAGAACTTTACTGAATTATTTTTAAATTTTTATTAAAAGCTTTGTGTGAAAATTGCTATGCTATAGATCTCAAACCACACCGAGCTTCCGCCATTTTGAGAACCGAAGAAACAGCCCATATCACATCAAGGTGCCTCCCTCCCATGTTTTTTTTAAAGAGACGCTGCTCGCTCCCTCACTATCCATCCTTCGGTTCAAACAGTCTTATACTGCCATCCGGTGGTAAAAAAAATAAAGGTACTACATTCAAAACAAATTAACCAACATTTATTTTTAAATTTGACAATAATTACTAATTACTGTCAATTTTCAAACTATTATCGTTTATCGCAATAATTTCTGAGACAATTAATCGCCCAGCAAAATTTGTTATCGTGACAGGCCTAAGTAAGATGACACTTTGACAAGAATGTTAAGTACAAAAACAAGCAGCGATGTAAGCTTGTGGGAACACTCATGTGGATACTTTGTTTGTAATCCCCCTAATAAACCTAATAACACCTCAGGAAACTTATAAAAGGGAAACGTGCACACATTTAAAACAATGAACTGCACCACATACACCGTTTCTCTTTGTTGTGTGCATGATAATGAGAGAAAATGGAGTGAGGATGCTGTGTATAAAAATCCAAGTCTTGATTAAGTTTCTGCCTCTACCCCTGAATGGACCATTAGCGTCTATAGTCGTCAACATTTCCAATTTACTACAGTATGAAGCATCAACGCTCACCGCTTGTTCCCTTTTTATTCATGTTCCAAAAACACCCCTGGTTAGATTTTTAACAAATGAGTTTCCACATGTGTGTTTGTACTTGGGTGTGTGTTTGTGTTGTGAGGAAGATCGTAACAGTCTTTGGTGCATATCCGAGACACATCCGGACTCGGGCCTCACAGGCCCTGCGAACAGCCTCCAGCTTCCTCTTTACTGTCGTTTCTTCATGCGTCACACTCTCTCTTTTTCTTCTGTTTCTTTCTAGACAACTGAGCTTGAAATATTATTTTTGAAGTCTGATCATCGACAACACTGGAAATTGAGATTTTCCTTTTGATCACAGTTTAAGATCGTGTAAAATTTTAGCTTTCAGAGCAAATCCCTGTTTTTTATTTTAGTTTTATTTAAGCTCTGACCTGCTGATTCAGATTCTGACCAGTTCTGATTTCTGTCTAAAATCAAACAATATGTTTTATCTTAATTCTGGCTGAGTTGAAAATTTGACCACCGCAAACCATATAAAAGCATTTATAGTCTCTAAACGTTTATATTCTCCCAAATTACACCAGATTTCTTAGCATTTTCCCCTTGTTGCTATAAATATACAAAGATATTGCCTCAGTTTACTGGAAATAGTTATTGTTCCATTTTCTATTGAAAGTAATTTGGTTTATCACCTATATAAATAAGAATATAGCTCCTTAACCCTGTTTTTTCCCTTATATACACCTTAATACTTAAAAGTGCACCAAATAACTGAATAAAAACACTTCAGTAGTGAAGGTGGCATTGTAGCTCAGTTGGTAGAGCTGCCACCTGTCATCAAGAAGGATATCGGATCAAATCCCGGTCCGGGGGCCTTTCAGGGTGGAGTTTGCATGTTCTCTCCGTGCATGTGTGGATTTTCTCCGGGTACTCCGGTTTCCTCCCACAGACCAAAAACATGCATGTTAGGCTAAACGGTGACTTAAATTGTCCCTAGGTGTGAGTGAGAGAGTGAATGTTTGTCTCGTTTGTCTTTATGTGTCCCTGTGATGGACTGGCTACCTGTCCAGGGTGTCCCCCGTCTCTCACAGTGACTGCTGGATATGGACACCCGTGACCGCCGTGAACCGAAAAGGAAAATGCGGTTAAAGATAATGGATAGATAGATGCAGTAGTGTCCAACATGGAAGTAAACAAAATAAACTACTGGTAATCAGTTTACTGTAATTGTATGTAAGTATGTATGAATGTATGGCAATTTACAGCTTCATTATTGTTAAAAAAATAAAAAGAATCTTTGGTGTGTGCGTGTCTCATGGACCGGCTGAGTCAAGTGTACTCGTACGCCTGGGTTCCTGACTTCACTGTGCGTTTGTTTATAGGAGGACTTGGCGGCTGCTTATTTTTTGCTCAGTTCCTCCGTGAAGAGCTCTGGGAGCCTTTCATCTTCCCAGCTCCACTTTACACAATCCCAGACACTGTTGGCCATGTTTAGAGGGAGGGTAGAGTTAGAGATGAGGAGAGATTTGTGGTCGGAGGCCAAGAGACTCAGAAGCAGATGCCTTTATGCACACTTCAGATGCAGAAACAGGAAAAGCAAGGAGCAGTTCTCTGATCCCTTTCTTCCTTAATGACTGCAAAAGAAAAAAAGCTCTGGGGCTTTACCTCGCTTGTATCATGTGGTGATGGAAAGCGGACCATAAGAGGTGTCTATACTCCAAATGTAAATTAAACCTGTGATTTTTGCAAAAACCTGACTACCTCAAGCTGTATGTCCATCTCAACAATGACAGGATTGTACCTTCAGGTTCATAATTGTGGGTTGTGTTTTATTGTTTTTATGTAAAAATGAGGGCGAGGGGAGCCATTCGTATAATTTATAATTACATTTACTCATAAATCACCATATTGTGTTCCATTTGCATGTGATGGTTCAGGCAGCTGCTCATAATCTCATTTTATAATGTCATCATCACAGCGCAGACAGACAGGGAGGATATTTATTGTTTATGCTGGTTTCCAGGAATTAGACTAGCCCTTCTGAACATCACTCAGTGTCTTTCTGGGAAATATTTAAAGTCATTTCAGCACTTTAGGTCCTGTGTTGGTACCTAAATCATCATCACCTCATGCATCACTGAGCCTCAGGTAATTTAATCTGGGAAATGTAATATAAATATTTAATCTTTGGCTGTGGGTTAATGACCAGGTTGCAACCAATCATTAAAGCTTGAATATCAGACTTTTATGACTAGTCCTCTAAATTTTGATAATGTTTTCGAAATATGTAATCTCAGCGTTTTTACAGTTGCAAGTGCTTTGCTGTGGGAAGTTTATCTTACTTTTGTTGTTCAGCTTTCCTCCCAGTCCTGTATCATGTATCCCTCTTTTTTTCTTCTTTTTACAACATATCTGTTTTCACAGAACACTTTGCAGCTTACAATGACACGACTCAATCAGCCTTTGTGTCTTTACGTATGACTGACACTCAGAGGAAATACCTCCTGATATAAAGTTTGTTGTGAAAACGCTTTCAAAATGAGATCAGTCCACAATGCAACGTTTGGGAATTCAAACACAGTTCATAGGCCAAGATCTAGGCCTGTTGTGATAAACAATAACTCAATTAATCGCGTGATAAATGAAAATTATCAACCTCATTTTCCAACATTTTTCAGTCGGGTCATCTGGACAGTTTCTTTTTTGTGCTGCAACGTTTCGCCTTCGATCCGGAATTCTTCATCGGTCAAGGAAACGCACAACAAAACTGATTCTTCCCCCAACAGCTTACTCCAATGTGGAACAAACCAGTTCTGCTTGAGAAAAGATGGTCTCTTTGGTACGCCCCTCCTCCATTGCTGGCCCTCTTCCTTGTTGACAGTCTTGTCAAACTGTTTGAAAACAACAAAGTCCATGCTCAATAATCCAGGTATAAAATCCAACATTTTTCAGTCAGGTCGTCTGATGACCTGACTGAAAAAAGTTGGATTTTATACCTGGCTTATTGAGCATGGACTTTGTTGTTAACCTCATTTTCATTTATCGACTTTATCGTTTCTTCGTGTCTCTCTTTCTACTGGACACTGGATGACAAAAGGCTCAACTCCGGTACTCTTCACTTACCCATCCCTTTCTTTTTTCTTTAAAATTTGTTTTAACCGTCCAAAATCGTGTTTTTGGAAGCAGCTAAGCTACTCCATAGCATAGTCCATAGCATACTCCAGCTTTTTTACAGTTTTCATCCAAGTGCAAGCTGTGAACAAGCAAATGCTATTTAAACCTCAAGTCGAACAAAAGCTAAAAAATCTGAATTAACAGAGTTTGTGAGGTTGGAGCTTATTTAAAAGTATTTATCTGCAGGTGGAGCACAATGCAGTGTGACACTTCACCATCCTCCCTCAGTGGCCTTCAGGGAAGCATCTGTAATGGAGCCTCCTTTGGTCCTCCATTGTCAGTGAAGAGACCCAACCGGTTATTGAAAGAGTATCAGTGATACAGGTCAAGAGGGTGGAGTACCTCTGGAAGCTCCCTGAACACACAACACTCTTTGCAGTCATGCATAAATCCATGTAAACACAGATTTTCAGTAGAAATGTGCCAGTAGTGGGTTTTATCAAATGTTATTAGCAGAACAGTGACTCACTATTTTTTATTACTTTCGGAACTTTCTGCTGCAGTGGTGTTTGTCTGTCTGTCTACGTAATTTCTTTTCAGCTTTTTTATATTGGCTGATTATTAAATCCAAGAGAAAATGAGGAGAATTAAGGAAATTATTTTTAATTTCCTCCCAGAATGAGCAGCTGCATACTGTATATTCAGTGTCATGCACCCATTAAGTCATGTGCATCTGTTTCCTGCAGAGTGTCTCCGCTGCAGAAGTCAGAGATTGTGGATATGGTGAAGAAGCACGTGAAAGCTATCACCTTAGCAATAGGCGATGGAGCGAACGACGTAGGGATGATTCAGACAGCTCACGTTGGAGTGGGAATCAGCGGCAACGAGGGCATGCAGGCCACCAACTCCTCTGACTACTCCATTGCTCAGGTGGGTGCAGATGTAGCATGAAAACACAGAGCACAGGTATTTATTCATGTCCAGTGTTAGCCCAAGGTGTTTGAGGCTTTACGTGAGCACATAATAGGAGTACAGGGTTATTTGTCCACCCTGTTTTTAAGATTACTTTTCACTTATTCCTAGTCTTTACCCATAACTCAAGGAAACAAATGTAAAAAGATCATCAGAGGTCAGGGAAGTATTAAACTCTCTCAACAATTATTTAAAGTTTTCACAAGTAATTATAGAAATTCCCAACTTCTCAGCTGTTACTTGTCCCAGTTATCTTCTTTCATAAGTTTTTATTTTAATTTTCACAACTGTGTAATACTGCTGATTTGATTGATTGGTTGATTGATTCATTTCATTGATTGAAAGGTGAACTTAAGCACTTGTTTCAAATGTTGTCCTTACTGTGAGGGTTAAATGACTAGAAAAATTTTAAAGTTCTAAAGCTGCAAATATTAGGTGATCCTTTTTAGCATTTTAATCAAGGTTAATGTAATATTTTGTTCTGTACACTTTCTGTCAAAATCTTATTAAAATTGAACCTTAAAAACGATTGGGCAACCCATGAGTTATCTTTAAAGCATTTGTTTCCTGTCTCACATTGGGAACTCCCTCGGCGTGACCTCAACAGATGCTCCTATTACATTACACCAGCCAGTATTGGCTGGAAAAAGTCCTGTCGGTGTCCAGGAGGGCATGGTTCCTTCCCACATATATAGGGCTGTCACTGCACTGACGGTTCATTCAAAAACTTCTTCTCACAACGAACAGAAGTTTTCACCAGCTCTCTCTCTCTGTGTCTCTCTCTCTCTGTCTGTCTCTCTGTCTCTGTCTCTCTCTCTCTGTCTTTCTGTCTTTCTGTCTCTCTGTCTCGTCTCTCTCTCATCTCTCTCTTTCTTTCTTTCTCTCTCTCTCTCTTTCTTTCTCTCTCTCTGTCTCTCTCGTCTCTCTCTCGTCTCTCTCACAAAGCTTAGCTAAATTGTCTGTAGGCGTGTGTGCAAGCTCCGTCGCTGGTCGTTCTGAGTCAGCACAGCACCACGCAGAGTAAGTGTTCTTCGGTATCAATACCCCTAATAAAGCTGGAGCAATAACACCACCAGCCTGATCAAGAAAGCTCATCAGAGACTCTACTTTCTCAGATGGCTGAGACGAGCTGGTCTGGGAAGCTCAGTCCTCACCTACTTCTACAGGTGTGCAGTGGAGAGCATCCTGTGCTCCAGCATCAACATGTGGCATGGAGGCTACACAGCTGGAGAGAGAAAAGCTTTGCAGAGTGGTGAAGGCTGCACAGAAGTCTGTTGGAGTCAGTCTCCCCATCACAGACATCTACACCTCTAGATGCAGGAAGAGGGACACCTGCATCATGAAGGACCCCACTCACCCAGCACACACATTTTTTTCCCTGCTCCCCTCAAGAAGGAGGTTAAGGAGCATTAAGTGTAGAATGAAGAACAGCTTCTACTCTGAAGCTGTTAGTCTCATGAATCTCTGTGAAAAATCATATGTTGCTGCTCATCTGTTTCTTGTTGCTGCTGATCTGTTTCTTGTTGCCGTGTTTCATTTGTGCTCATCTGCTCACACAGACTCATGTTCGTGCTGCTGTTCAGCGTATTGTTTTTATGCTACTTGTGCTTAGTGTATTTTTATTAACTTTTTTTTATAGTTAATATCTTAGATCTTATTACTGTTTCTCTTTTACTTTTTAATATTTTTTTGGATGAAACTGGGACCCTGTGTACACAATTTTGTTCCACCACATGTACCACATGTGGTGTGTATGACAAATAAAGAACCTTGAATCCTTGAAATGGACTGTACTTAAATAGCGCTTTTCTATTTACTGGTAGTCAAGATACTCGAAGCGCTTTACACTACAGTACAATCTGTGCTCTCATATTCCTATTCATACAGCACTCTATATCTCTACAAAGATAATCTGAATGTGTGGACTAATCAGTGCTTTATCACATTCATACACTGATGGGACACACATCGGGGGCAATGAGGGGTTCAGTGTCTTGCCCAGGGACACATAAGCATGTGACTGCTGTTGGAATTGAACCCCCAACTCTTGCATTGGAGGATGACTTCTCTACTCACCCACAGCTGCCCATATATTATCAATACACCCATCTTGCACAAAGTTCTCTCTGGACAATACTTTGTTCCCAAACCCTGCTTTTGAGCCTAAAGTTTTGGAATCCTACTCTCTAATTGAGTTAGTGGCGTTCAGTCCCTCTTCTTTCTCCTCTGAGGAGAGGTTACACAAACTGTCCCCAGTACGCGCTTGACGCATCTACTTGGACGGGACGAAACCTGTCAGGAAAAGTGACCGTTTGTCTTCTGGGCTAAGAATCATTTTGAAAAGCCGGTAACAAAACAGCAGTTTTCTCACTAGATCACAGATGTGATTGCCCTAGCCTACAGTTCAAAAGGACTGCAGCCTCCCGAGGGCCTGCTTGCCCATTCTATAAGGGGCTTAAGCTCTTAATGGGCCCTGCATAAGGGGGTATCCCTTCAGGAGATTTGCACCGCAGCAAGCTGGGCTTCTCCTCACACGTTTGCTTGGATTTACAAATTTGATGCCACTGAATCATCAATGACTCATTCAGTACTCAGTGTTGCACTACGTGCACAGGAGCATTGGAGAAAAATTCTCTGAACAGCTGGCACATAATGTGAACTCAGCGGAGCAATACATGAGTCGGTACATTTTCAGAGTCAGTTTCTTTGTCATTCGCACAGTGGAACAAAATTATGTGCACAGGGTCCCAGTTATATCCCACAATAAAATGAAAAAGAAAAACAGTAATAAGATCTAAGATATGAACTAAGAAAATCGTCAACTAAAAATACAGTAAGCACAAGTAGCATAAAAACAATACACCGAACAGCAGCACGAACATGAGTCTGTGTGAGCAGATGATCACGCATGAACACATCAACATGAAACAGATCAGCAGCAACATGTGATTTTTCACAGTGATTATTCTGGTTAGAGATTCATGATTCTAACAGCCTCAGGGTAGAAGCTGTTCCTCAGTCTAGTTGTTTTACACTTAATGCTCCTTAACCTCCTTCCTGTGGGGAGCGGGGCAAAAAGTGTGTGCGCTGGGTGAGTGTGGTCCTTCATGATGCAGGTGGCCCTCTTCCTGCATCTAGAGGTGTAGATGTCTGTGATGGTGGGGAGACTGACTTCTGTGCAGCCTTCACCACTCTCTGCAAAGCTTTTCTTTCTGCAGCGTTCATCATTCCCAATGAAATACTGTCACTCATGCTATTCTGAGAACCGGGGGTTACGACAATAACCTAAAGATTTGAACCCTCAAGGACAGCTGAGCCAAATGTTTTTTTTTTGTTTGTTTTTTTTTAACTCATAGCCACAAAGCAGATCTAGCCTTCATAGGAAGCACATTTAATCACGATAATTAAAAAAAACATAAACAAGTTAGTTCTAGGTGCACAGGTTTAAAATGAAATTGGCACAAATTAGCCAAACTAAAAAATAAAAAAGATTGGGGGGGGGGGGGGGGGCTTAAAAAATGAAAAAAAAAAAATCCACCTTGAACTACCGCAATAGGTTCAAACTCATGGTGCCTCGGAGCTTTACAGTCTAAATATCAACATCTGTAAGTCTTAACTTACAAAAATAAATAAAATAGCTTGAAGTCAACCAAATGACTTATTTTACTGTAAAAATTAATGAAATCGATATCAAAGAAGTTGCCTTTTTCTCATCATGAAAGGAATGTTAGAAAGAGACCAAATGTGACTGTTACTTTATTTACACAAAATGATATCGAGTGCCCCGCACCCCCTGCCTCTAACAGATAAGCGTCTGCTTTTGTTTGTTTGTTTGTTTTACTGTTGGGCAGTTCTCCTACCTGGAGAAGCTTCTGTTGGTCCACGGGGCATGGAGCTACAACCGTGTCACAAAGTGCATCCTCTACTGCTTTTACAAGAATGTGGTCCTCTACATAATCGAGGTAAGTCACACCGTGTCTGTCTCGCAGAGCTAGATTAACAGAGACATTTTGCAGCTGTTTGTCGACAAGGCTGACAGTGACGGACGAGGTGACCCTCTGGTGCTTTCCTTTTTATGCACATATACACACACATATATATATAT